AAAAAATTAAAAATCAATTAAATAAGAAAAAAATTTATTAAAATTGAAGAAGAGGAAAGAAGAATGAACACTTTCGGCTAGGCTGATACCGTATGTAACCTCCCACTATAATTACACATTTAAGCATATTAACACATCTTAACTAGGGGATTGTATACCTCTGCAGTATTTACATATGTATTGTTTTTGCTATCATTGAGAGTATCCGCACATAATAAAATGGCCAATCTTAAAAAAAAAAAAAAAAAAAAAAAAAGAGAGAAAGATGTACTATTCACTAAAAGACGTCCAATGTGGAAGGATTGATTTCAACAACTATAGTTGGAATGAATGGCACCCATACATACCTCGTGCCCTAGAAGAATTGACTTGCTGTGGACTTGCCAAAAAAAAAAAAAAAATTTGCTTTATGTATAAAATAATTATACACCCTTTTGACTTCATGTTCACTTACAAAAAATTGCCTTATGTATAAAATGACACAATTACCTCTTGGACCATTTTAAAAGACCAAAATGCTCAAAACTTAAACCACCTCCTCCTCCTCCTCTCTGTGAGAGAGAGAGAGAGAGAGAGAGAGAGAGAGAGAGAGCTAGCCGCTCCACACGCGCACACGTGGCTGCTAACATGAGTCCTCTTTTTATCTCACTTTTTCTTCGCGGCTGGTGAGAAGAAGTTTGAATCAAAGGAGTATGGAGACGATGCGAGGTGGGTGCTGACCAGAGAGTTGGTCGGTGAAGACATGGAGGACGGCGACGAGACGACTCCGTCATCAAGCAAAACAAGAGAGGTCTGAAATGGCGAAGTGACAGATTGCAGCAAACAGTTTGGGATTTCAGTCACCGAAAAGTAATGGCCTCGCCCCATTAAGGGAAATTTTTATATTTTTGCATTTCTGATATTATATTGCATTAAAAAAGTAGGACCACATTTCACATCATTTTAAATAAAATATTAAAAACAAAAAGTCCATGTGGGATTTGAACTAATTTGAGGGCTGCCAATATAATTTGACCTAATGCATGTTAAGCATATCACAATTAGGGGATGAGAACCAAAACGGTATACCTCCGTGATATGTACATAAGCACTCCTTTTGCTATCATTGCGAGTATCGGCATGCGAGATATCAGGCATACTAGGCCACAAGCCGTGCAGTATCCTGATTCATGGCATGCCACACCATGCCCAACCTGATTTAAAAACAAAACATGAACATGAGAAAGATGTACAATAATGGTAAATGAAGGATTTCAACAACTAATTAAACTAGAATTCGAATAATATATACCTCATGTCCTAGAACGGCTGCTATCTCTGCATCTGAATTGTGGATGTCAAGCAACCCAGTAGAAATAACAATCTTCCCGTTGGAGAGGTACGCAGCATTTTTATCAGAAGAATCCACCGCCACCACTTGCCAATTCAATCCTTCCAAATGCATAGTCCCAAATTTTATGATAGATGTCTTAGGCCTCGTTTGGCTCTCCTCCTGGTGTAACCTTGATACAAGTAAAGTGCCTTCCGATCCATACCCTGAAACACTGCAGTCACGTTTAAGCTCTAAACCAGTGTGCATTCCTTGAACTATGTTTCTCAATATGGACTGCGCACGAACACTGTGTGGGTGTGTTGCACCAAGTATTCTGTCTTTGTTTTTCTTCCCCATATTCTCCCAGCAATGCTGTGCATACCATCTTTCCAATTCGTCGGAGATTGTGAACATACGGATTCGCTTCGAGTATGGAACTCTCTGTATACGAATACGACAAAAAAGGCTCAGGCTCGGGCTCGGGCTCATGCTATGCAGATTGATATATGCGTCTGTGTCACATGCAAGACTTGTTAAACAAGACACCTCTGTCTGGGAACCAACAGAATTGGGCACACACATGGATACTCACACACACATATATATAGTAGTTACTGAAAATAGTTCCCTGCCTAAGGCAAGCTTAAAATAGAACAAAAGCTTTTTATTTCACACCATCTTTAGTTCTTTTTATATTTTTAATATCATAATTGCACTTCTTATAAAGTGAGGACTCTCCTAATTCTTTTTTACTTTATTTCAATTCATTTAAGTTTTATGTCAAGTTCCATTCCCCCTCTCTCTTGAACTCTTTTGGAATTTCAACTCTTTTTCTTATATTATTTTTTTACTTTTCTTTGAATTCGAGTATATTAACATTTTCTCACAATCTCTGTCGTATACTAGTATTAAAATTTGACAGTAAAACTGCTTGAGATTTTTATTTTTTTCAACTCAAATATGTAGCTCAAATTTATGATACTATAACTTAATTGCCCGACTTAACTATGTAAGCTCAAAATTTTGTATATACTAGTAAAATTTAATTTAAAATTAATATTCAACAAAATAATTAAATATCTATTTTCTCAAATAGTTAATTAAAATTAATTTCTTAAAATAATCACACTAATATATTAATTAAGATAAACAAATTACATGATTAAATAACGATGACAATTTACACAATCTTTACAATAATAAATTAAAAAATTATTCTATAAAACATAATTAACAAAACTCTGAAATAATTAATTAACATAAAATTGACACAAAGAAAAAGATATAAAAATAATAATTATTAATTAAAATTTTTAATAGGAATTAAATTATTGATATGTGTATTTTCAAACTCCTAAAACAATATCAAAATAAAGATTTCCTTTTATTGCAAAACTCATAATAAAAAAGTAATTTGAGTTTTATGGAAATCTTCTAAACACATTTACCAAAAAAAAAAAACTCTTCTAAACACACTATATTAATTAAAATAATAATAACTCATAATAAATAGGTAATTCTTTTCAACAGAAATTCAATTATTGACAAGTGTATTTTCAAACTCCAAAAATAATTTCAAAATCAAGAATATATATTTATTTTTTTTACAATTCACTAATACTTATTTTAGTAATGAATAATATTCAACAAGTCAATGAATATAATTATTGACTATTTTATTTATCTATACTAAGAGTATATATTTCCTTTTATATATTTCCTTGTCTAATTAGAGATACTAAAGTATTTATTTTCTTTATATATTCCCTCCGAGCTATTTAGCCCGATAAATAAAAACCTACTATTTCACCGAGTCTATGTGGTTGTCTATGTGTCAAATATAATGGGTCCTATTTTTAACTATAAAGTAATTAACTATTTGAAAATTTGCCTATCTTTCTATTCTTTTACAAATAAAATTCAAAAATCCTATCAACTCCCTATGATTTCATCTTAATATTTTTCGTTGACAATTAAAGTTTGAATCACCATGAAACTTTAATATATATATCTATACTTATATTATTAAAAGTGTAAAGAATTTCAATATTTCAATATTTATTTATTAATATAAAAAAATATTTATTAATTTATATAAAAAGAGATTTTTAAAAAGTTTCTATAAAACTCTAACACAAATTACTATTTATGTATTTATTATGAGTTTTTTTAATAAAGGAATATCTAATTAGACAAGGATATATTTAATAATTTCTATAAAACTTTACAACAAATTACCAATTTCTATAAAACTCTACCACAAATTACCTATTTTATCTTCTATAAAACTGTATCACATATAACATATATTCATCTATTTATTATGAATTTTTTATAAAAGGATATCTAATTAGACAATGATATATTTAAAGATAATAAAATAATTTCTATAAAACTCTACCAAAAAAAATATTTATTAGTTGATGTAAAACGAATTTTTAAAAAAGTTTCTATAGAATTCTAACACAAATTATCTCTTATCTATTTATTAGACAAAAATATATTTAAAAAAAATAAAATAATTTCTATAAAATTCTACCACAAATTACTTATTTCTATAAAACTTTATCACAAATTACCTATTTTATTTTCTATAAAACAATATCATATATAACCAATATTTATCTATTTATTATGAATTTTTTAATAAAAAAATCTAATCAAACAAGGATATATTTAAAGAAAAAAAAAATAATTTTGCGCTTTAATTTGATTTTCTTATGTTTGGATTTTGAATTCTATTATCAAGTTTAAGTTTGGGTGTTTCTATTTTGTGAAATGTGTAGACTAACATTTCCAATTATTCAAACTGAGTAATCTTTAAGGTCAGTAATACCATAAAATTAGTGTCTAAATTAAGTTAATTTCACATTGCAATTGTAGGGTGGACTGAAGATTTCGGATTTTTGATGCTCTGTACAATCAAGAAGCAAGAGACACACATGGTGTGTGTGGAACTTTGGATTATCAAGCACCAGAAATGGTGGAGAACAAAAGATCATGGAGCATCCCTGGATAATTAAATATACTGATCCATCGGGTACCTGCTCTAATTAGCAATTTTAGTTTCTAGTATTCTGCATCCCTGGATAATTAAATATGCAATTTTCATTTTAGCCTATGTTCTGTGAATTCTTGGAAAAAGGTATCTTGCTAAGTTTTCTAGAGTGACTATAACTATAGAAGAGAACTGATATTAGGATCTATCAAGTAGTCAGAGTGAACCTACCAAACACAATAAACAAAACCAGAAGAAAATCTCGACATCACTTGCTTTTTACTAGCAGAGTTGGTTTATTTTCTCAAGTAAATCCTAGAAAGAGAACCAACTGCAATGAACTCTGTTGGCAAGTATATTCTAGTATCTCTAGCAGGTCTTGTATTCATGCATGACATTAAATAAATTTCTTAAATCTTTTATTTTATACTAAATTAACAAAAAGGAAAGGAACATGTTATAAAATAATTAAAAGAGTGTAATATTATTAACAATAATATATATATATATATATATATATATATATAACATAAAATGAAAGATTTTGGTAAAATGAAAGATTCTGTATCTAGTCATTATCAGTGTTACCATTAGTAACTCAATAACAAACAATGACTATGCTGCTCTAGCATGATATCATTCATGTTGCAGGAAAATATGCCTTCTCCATTTCGGTATTGAAAATTTGGATTAAACAAAGGACTTCACCTCGTGTCGAGACCTCACTCCCTTATATATTTCCATTGCTTCTCCCATCACTTCGTTTTGTTGCAGCGACCTAGCTCTCGTTTCTCCAGATGGGTGAGTTTCGAACAAATCCTCTTTATAATCACAAATCCTCTCATAAAAGTATGGTGCAACTTGAGGGTCATACCCAGCTGAAGCCATTAACATTAATCCAATGTAATCTGCTTCCAATTCCCCCCTACCAAACACACACACACACACATTAAATAAGAAAAAAATAAAAAAAAATGAAGAAAAGGAAAGAAGAGTGACAGAAAAGTGTGGAACTTGTAGGTGTTTACCCAAATTAGTGTTAACTTGCAAACAAAAATCATTTAAATATTTAGTTTATGTGTTGACTTGTGCCGTAAATCAATCTGTCATAGAGGAATCATAGTTAGGAAAATTAGTACTCTCAAGAAATTTTTTACTAGCAGTAAGCAGTTAGGACTTGGGAGTAGTTTTTGACAATTAATTTAAGTATCCAAGAATGCCTAAACATCATAGAAGCCTCCAATCTACTCACTGTCACTTTGACACCCAATAGTAACTAATTTTAAGCATACAAATATAGATCCATATTAATTTGTACGACACTAGTTTATAAAGCACATGGAAGATTGAAACTACTCCTAAAACTAGCGACCTGGTCTTAGTAATTCTATGACCATATTATGCAACTGGAAGCATCTTGTACAACTTTCCGTAGATTATAATTTAGTAAATAAATTGGGAATTTTTCACATTTATAATCTGTGCGCGAAATTATTGAATAAGTAAATTACATGCAACAAAAATTTGTTCACGAGCCATGTATGGAAATACTAGGAATATTAATTACATGATGGAATACAGTTTTGTTGCATTTTATCATAAAAGGGGAAATAATACAAGAAATTAACATGAAAGCATCCATTTGCATTTAACCGAACTTGTTTCCAGAAGATATTTCGGTTGCTTAACAATAGTTGTGTTAATTGGACCAAGTACAAAATAATTCATATGAATGTATACATAACATTAACGTTAAGCATATTAACACATCTCAATTAGGGGATCTGGTATACCTCCTCAATATGTACTTATATACTCGGTCTGCTATGATTGAGAGTTTCGGCACATAATAAAAAGGCCGTACAAGGGCATAAATCACCAAATATTCTGATACGTGCCATGCCACACCATGCCCAACCTGATAACAAAAACATGAACATGAGAAAGATGTATGTACAATGTGGAATGATTTCAACAACTATGAATTCGAATAATAAATCACACCCAAACATGATACATACATACCTCATGTGCTAGAAAAGTTGCTATATCTATATCTGAATTGCAATAGTCAAGTATCCCTGTATAAACAACAATCTTGCCGTTATTGTGGTACTCAGCATTTACCACATGAGATTCCACCAGCATCACTTCCCAATTCAATCCTTCCAAATGACTAGTCCCAAACTTTATGATACTTTCCTTTGGCCTCTTTCGGTATTCTCTTGATACAAGTAAAGCGTCTTCAGATCCATTACTTGAAACATAGCAGTGACGATTAAGCCCTAAACCGGTGTGCATTCCTTGAACTATGTCTCTCAATATGGACTGCACTCGAACACTTTGTGGGTGTGTTGAAGGAAGTATTATCTCTGGGTCTAAGATGTACGGATCCTCCCTCCATAGTCTTTCCAATATGATGTGGGACGGTGTGACCATTCGGATTCTTTTCGAGTATGGAACCCTCTCCAAACTGGCAAACAGTAAAACAAATATGGTTAAAAAATATATAATTCTTTGAAGGCATGATAGGCACCCCATTCCCAGCCATGGTATGCTGCTAGGTTTAGGTTTTTTTATTCTCTTTTTTTGTTTCTCCACCTTAGATTTCTTTTTTTTGTCTGGTCTGCGTGGAAAAATATTATCAAGAGCCTGAATATCTGGGTGGTAAAATCTTGTTTCAAAATCAGAAAATCTTGTTCCAAAATCAGATGGAAAAGGCCAATCTGGATCTGGGTGGTTAAATTTTGTTTCAAAATCAAATGGAGGAGGCCAATTTGTCTGTTCGGGTCCATAAAAGCATGTAACAGGTGATAATAACACATTAGACCTTCTACGAATATGATTGATAGCCTTTTGGACCAGACGCGGGTACACCGTTTTCTTGTGATTAAAACTTAAAGTTGAGCAAGGAATTATTGGCTTCTGAAGTCGACGGTCATGAGAATGAGAATGAGAAACAGAAAGAGTCTTGTGATTGAAACATAAAGTTGAGCCAAGATTTAACTGATTAAGAAGCATTGAATTCATGTAAAAGAAACTCTATACAATAATTCTTCAATAATGAAAAAAAAAGAACGAGTGTTCTTCAATGGATAAATCTTTTTCTTATTGTTGCAATAAATAAGAAACCCTCTACCAACTGTAACCTGTGTTGCTCATCACTCTCGGTACGGAAACCCACGGAATTGGGAGGTTTTTATATTTAATTTGGTTTTAAGCAATTAAATCCTTGTCAAAAAGGATTCGAATTTTACATTTTATAAATAGATAAAGATTATGAGTTGAGACTAACAAGTTGAGAGATTGTGGTTGATTGCTTTATAACTTTTTGTTTATTTGTCTATTATTGCTCTTTCTTAATTGACCTGTTTTTTTTTTTTTTTCTTTCTAACTCTAATAATGTTTTGTTTTATTTATTTATTTATTTATTTTCATGGTATGTGTGACCTTAACCTCTACGAGTATTAAAAAGGGAGATGACATACCAGTCCATGTTTTGAGAAAAATTTGTGTACCTAATTTTTATTTATTTTTAAATAAATAAACTAAAATAAGTAGGTTTATAAAATTTTCAGCTGTTACCAATAGGTTATTAGTCCAATAGTATAACTGTATAATATCTCTTAACCATTTATGAAATGTGTGAGTACTTAATCAGAAAAAATAATAATTCCATCAACTCCGTTTAGATCAAAAGCCATATTGTTTAAAGATGAAGGTAAGCAAGAAGGAAACAGAACAAAAGATTTTAATTTCATGGAACAAAACCCATATCGTGGATTATTGAAATTCATCAACATGATGCTACTGCCTGCTGGGTCCCCGCACACAATTTCTTTTTGGCAGTTAACTAATTTTTTTTGGGAAGGTAGTTGACTAAATTATACGCACACAAAACATACAAATACAAATACACACACTCTAACATAAATATTAAATACGTACGTTGTTATCTGAAAAGAGATTTTAAAAATTATAATAATAAAATAAAATCAAAAAAATCAGGGGATATAAAAAGTAATTTTTCTGATTTTTCTCTTCTTTTCTTTTGTTAAATCTATTTTTACTTTACAATTTCTCGAAAATTGAATTGAATTTTTTTTTTTTTTTTTAAAAAAAAAAAACACTGAAACAAGCAGCATGTTAGTATAATTCTTGTATTTGCTTGGTCTCTCTGTCTCTCTTAATTTTTTTGCTGGAGGACTGTTCTCTTGAAGAATAATGCTTTACACACTAGGAGAAAGCATTTGGAGTGAAGAAGTTAGCAGCAGTCAGTCATCCCCAGGCTAATGGTCAAGTCGAAATTACAAACAGGATAATATTTGCTTGCATTAAGAAAAAGCTAGAGAATGTAAAAGGAAAATGGTTAGATGAGCTTCCGAACGTCTTGTGGGCTTACAGAACAACCCCAAGACGGCCTACTGGAGAGAGCCCATTCGCTATGGCCTACGGCACCGAGGCGGTGATATCAGTCGAGCACTTGGTTCCAACTGTAAGGAGCTTGGCGTGGGATCAAGAGCAGAATGATAGAATGCTGAGGTTTAATCTCGATTTGCTGGAGGAAAAAAGGGATGCGGCTGCAGTAAGGCTTGCCTCTTATCAACAGACGCTTGTGAATAGCCGTAACAAGAAGGTGAGGCACAGAAACTTCGCTCTTGGTGACCTGGTTCTGAAAAGGAAGGTGGGAATTGTGATGTCTGTATATATTAGTGTGTATGGTGTAATTTAAATGAAAAAGAAAAAGAGAAAAGAAAAGTTAATGAGTGGGACCCACAAGCATTTAAATGGTCATGAGACCATCTTTGCTTTCATTTTTTTTTTTTTCTCTCATTCCCGTATGGTTATCTCTCTCGTCCAGAACTCCTTCTTTTTTTTTTTTTTCTTTTTTTGGTTCCAATCTTCAAGCTTTGATTCCATCTTCATTACTTGCCGGATTTAGGTGCCGTTTGAGGCAAAATGACGAGTGTGACGAGCTCTACGCGTTGATGCAAGCAATTTCCAGTTTTGAGCCTTCTTTGGAACTCGAAAATTTAAACCCATTTCTAGGGTTTTGCCTATTTTGAGGTAGGGGCATCTTAATCCACTCTAGTCTCGTTCTATTGTGAATTTTACCTCCATGTTGTATTAAATATGCTTAATTTAGAGTTAATTATATCTATGATGGTATTAATGATGTCTAGAGGGTTTTTCACGATCTTGAATATGGTTGGTTCATGTGCAAATTATATTTAGTTGTTGATTTCCTATGTTTACTATGTGCTAGCATGCTGAAATTGATGTATGAGAGTATGCTTATTTAAATTGCGCCAAATTTCCCAATTCATGATGTTGAGCTCATATATATATATACATGCACATGCTTAAATGTATTTTGTTGTATCTTAATGTGTTAATAATTACTTGGGAGATGTTGAACATGTTGAATGTTTAATTTTATAATGGAAAATTTTAAATGCCATGACATTGAATGTATGGAACATATATACATGCACATACCATTGGGTTTGCATGAAATGGGAGAAATTGTTCTTGAAATAAATATGGGGAATTTCAGGGAAGTGTTTTTGATAAAATGGTTTTATGCGAAACCCGGTCGCTGCGGGGTTATCAACGGGCCGGAGGTTAATATAGCCTAGAGGGGACTAGTCGCCCTAGCGTGGTTGAGCTAGCTGGGCCCCATAATGACGCCGCGGGGTTACCAAGGGTCAGGGACACTAGCCAATCCTCCTTTCGTGTCGCGGCGGGGTTACCAAAGGGCGGACTGTATTAACGTTTGAAAGTGATGATTTTGAGAATGAAAATGGGGAGTGTCATTGACATGCATTGCATGTCATTTCATTGCATTGCATTGTTTATACTTGGAATTGACTTGTATGTTGTATTTGATCCCCTACGTTGTATGATCCCTATCTCCCATTGGCCTATGCTTTGCTTGAATTCACAAGGACACAAGATTTGTGTCTTAAGTGTCACCTACTGAGCATATAGCTCACCCTACTATTTATACATTTTTTTCAGGTCTTGGAAAAGAACCGGTGAACGACAACCCACCTCAAGCTTGAGCGATACTAGAAGCTCACTTTTGTGTCTTTTGTATATCTCCCATTATTTTTGCAAAGCACTAAAAGTGTGAAGGTGTATATGTATATTTTGCAAAACTTTGTTATGTAATGTAATTAAGGTATTTGATGATAATTTAGATGTGAATTTGATAACATGTAAACCTTATTGGTGCATGGGGAGAGTAATACTAGTTTGAGGTATTATCGAGGTCATTTGATTGTGTATTATCATCTACTATTGCTGTGAATTCGGAATTTGAGCCGTGACAGGTTAAAAATGCAATTAAACAGGTTGTGATAGGCCTATTTTTAGGGGAGGTTATGCCGAATTTTTTTGTTTAAAAAGTATTAGTTTTGAGACGTTACAGGAATAGTCAAAAAGATGTTCTCCCCATGGGAAGGTCCATGCAGAATAGCAGAGGTCATAGGGAAGGGGGCGTACGTCCTAGAAATTATGGCAGGAAGGGTGGTCAATAAGTCATGGAATGCTACATCTCTGAAAAGGTACTACCAGTAGAAGTAGAATTTAATTTCAAGCAATACGCACGCTTTAAATTGCATACTTGCAAGTGTACGAAATTCCCAAGTTTTATAAAAAGTCTCTTCTTTGTCAAAAAATTAATTGACACTCTTCCCATTCAGCAAAGTTAGTGGCAGCTGACACTTAAAGCCAGATGCCAAATACTTACTCAAAAAATAAAAATAAAGCCAAGTGGCAAGAGGCGTTTAAGCCGAGCGCCAGGCATTCAGCAAAGTTAGTGTCAGCTGACACTTAAAGCCGAACGCTAAACACTTGCTCAAAAAATAAAAAAAAAGCCAAGTGGCAAGAGGCGTTCAAGCCAAGTGCCAGGCATTCAGCAAAGTTAGTGGCAGCTGGCACTTAAAGCCGAACGCCAAACACTTGCTCAAAAAATAAAAAATAAAGCCAAGTGGCAAGAGGCGTTCAAGCCGAACGCCAGGCATTCAGCAAAGTTAGTGGCAGCTGGCATTTAAAACCGAACGCCAAACACTTGCTCAAAAAATAAAAATAAAGCCAAGTGGCAAGAGGCGTTTAAGCCGAGCGCCAGGCATTCAGTAAAGTTAGTGGCAGCTGGCACTTTAAGCCGAACGCCAAATACTTGCTCAAAAACAAGTAAGATAAAGACAGAATGGTGACAAGGCCAAACGTTAAACACTTGTGAAAATACACTGCAAAGCTGAAAATAGAAAACTTGAAGAATGGAAGTCGTGCTGAGCAAAAACATTGTCATTCATTACCAAAAGGTCCCAAGGTATATAGCTCAATACATGAAGATTAAAAAAAAAAAAAAAAAAACTGCTACTGGATGTCAGTTCTGATGATCTTCTCCAGGCTGTAACTTGTCATTCTCCCCACCATCATCCTCTAGACCATTGAGGTCTTCTCCATTCTTAGCTACCCTATCATCCTTAGAAGGGGAGTCAAGATGAATCACTCCCTCAGCAGGCATAGGTCTGTCAGCAGCAACTGAGGAAGAGGGCACAATGGTATAAAAGGGAAGAATATTCAGGGGTTGAAAGGGTGGGACAATTCCTGAGGATGCAACCTCTATACACTCAATGAAAATATTCTCAGCCGAGTCACAGGGTGGGTTTTGATAATTATTTGGGGGGTGGATATCCAAATAAGCATCTAATTCATCTGGACCAGCACAAGAGCTTGATTCACCTTTAGGGGGAGAACGGTCAATAAAATCGTCTCTGTACCCTTCAGCATACCGGATGGCACTGGTTCTGGTGAAGCGAGCAAGGAGAGCTTTTATACCCCCTTCGACTTTGCCAATCATGTTCAGCAAGGAAGACCGTTCGTTTAAGAGCTTTTCCTGTGAGTTCGCCTGAGACAATCGTTCAGCAATGAATGAGCGCTGAAGGTCTCCCTTTTCAGCTTTGAGAGAGTCCCTTTCTGTCAGAGCAACACTCTTCTCAGTTTTCAAGACATCAACCTCATCCTGAAGAGAATCCCGTTCGGTCTTCAGGGTATCCCGTTCAGCTCTGAGGGAATCCCTCTCATTTGCCAGACCGTCCCTTTCTACCTTTAAGTCAGCAACCCCCTTCTCTAACTCGCTCAGCTTAGACTCCAGCTCAGCAACTTTGGCCTCAAGGAGATTCTTTGCTTCAACAGACCTTTTAAGGCCCACAGAGAGGGATTTAAGCTTTTTATTCAGAGTTTCAATGGTCTTTTGAAAAGTAAACATCCCGAATAAAGTCTGCATGAAGAAAAAGAAATTCAGGTCAGACTTGCTACTAAAGAGTCATAGCAGAAAAGAAACGCATTTCAATAATAACAAAAAAAAGACTCACCTCCATAGCAGCAGCTGGGAACCACTGGAACATCTCACCAAAGGATAGCTTATTCTGAATCTCAAGGTCCTTGGGGGTCCAGAAACCCTTGTAGAAAGCAAAGGAGGTGAGG